ACAGACAGACACAGACAGACACAGACAGACACAGACAGACACAGACAGACACACACAGACACACACAGACAGACAGACAGACAGACAGACAGACAGACAGACAGACAGACAGACAGACAGACACAGACAGACAGACAGACAGACAGACAGAGACAGACAGACAGACAGACAGACAGACAGACAGACACACACAGACAGACAGACAGACAGACAGACAGACAGACACCCAGCCAGCCAGCCAGCCAGGCAGGCAAGCAGGCAGGCAGGCAGGCAGGCAAACAGACCGACAGACCGACAGACCGACAGAAGGACGGACGGACGGGCGGCGGACAGACAGACAGACACAGACAGAGACAGACAAACAACACAAACACAGACAGAGGGAAGAAGTGAGAGAGAGAGAGAGTGAGAGAGAGAGAGAGTGAGTGAGTGAGTGAGTGAGTGAGTGAGTGAGTGAGAGAGAGAGAGAGATATAAAAGCGTGGTTTGTCCAAATGAGTTGAAGTTATGAGTATCCAACCGTAGCAAAAATGCGGAAAGTGCCGCTGCCCTCCCTGCCTGATTGACCCTGGTCTCCTGTGCGCAAGTGTTTTGGAGGCTTCCCGGAAGCTGCAAGTTCTGCCATTCAAGGCATTGTCTTTCAGCCAGGAAGCATTGGAGCGTCAGCTGATTACAAAGGGTAGAGACTCTAGACTCAAGACAAAACTTCCCTTCCTCCCACATGGCCATCTCTGGCAGTCAAGGGATGAATGGCATGAACGACAACAGCTCCTCCACTCCAAGCAAAGAGCCCTCCCATAGACCACCAGAGTATCGTCCGGTGCCGGTGAAAACCACCTTTCGTTCACTGTCTTCACCTTGGAGATCCAGGATCACAATGACGAGTCCAAAACCATCTGAGGATTCAATCCATTACAGGCATTGCAGCATCGTATCATATTGCATTCCCTTCGCTAATCAGCACAGAAGCTCCGTAATTACAGTGTTCATCGCAAGTCTGTCATAGGGGATCTGTCATCCAGGCTGGTCCAGGGTATGTCTTCGGACTTTCGGAGGACTCCATGGGGCGAGCGTCGCGTCACATCGGAACGTCGCGCGGAACGTCGCTGGTGCTTGCTCAAGCTCCCCGACTATCAGACGGGATCAAGATGGCGCGAGACACCGAAGTGACAATCACCTGCCACAGCCCACCGGCAGGTCGGTCATGACGGTCGGAGGAACCTCCGTCTGCTTGGCAAAGCCCAGAAGCCCGGTGTTTCGGATGTTTGGGGTGATCTTTTGGACCATTTTGGGGTTCGAAGGACAGCCGTTTCTGCGCCGGTTTCTGCGGTTTCGGCCCAAATGGACCCCGTCTCGACCTGCGACCTAGCCATGATCGGATGGAAAAATGGACAGGGCCTCAACATGATGTTCTCCGTCCTCATCCTCATCCTTAGGCTTTTCCTCCTGCGAACAAAGAAAGGCAAAAACCATATAGATATGACCTGCTCGACTCCGAGCATAACTGCATTATGCCCGGGTCTAAAGTTTGCTGTTTGCATGGGCAAACATGGCGCAACACACAAAATCTTTGGACCCAGAAGAGCAACATCAAATGCGGAAGGGCTCCGATGAAACAGCTCCATCTCTTTCCACAGCTACAAGGTCTCAGCTCGTGCCATGCGAACAAAATCAAACTCAAAGAAAGGAAGCAAGGAAAAAAACAAGAACTAATGTGAACAAAACAATATGGTGACTTGATGCGACTTGCATGTTTATTCTTGTTGGGCGTATTTTCCTTTTGTCTTCAGCTCGATTGGGCACAAATGCAGTACACCATCACAGGAGTCACGGGAGTCGCGACTCCTGTGACAAAATATTCTATCGGTTGCCATCAATCAATATGTAGAACACTTCAATATACTCATCTAATTACTAATTACAAAATAGTTATATAAATGAAAATAGAAAACTAGATATTATACATCTGCACCCATTCACCAAAAATATCCTGATACTATTCTGCATTGTGCGCCTAATCTGATATCTGTGAAACTTCAACAGCTTCCTGCATGGTTTGCAGGACGACAATGGCACTTCGCAAATGTTGAAGAACTCGAGAAAGTCCGCCAGACGATGACCACAACCATACATTCATTGGCAACATATTGCATCAGCACATTTATGCATAATATGTCTATTGTGCGGCTGCAGGTCATCAGGATTTGGTGGATGTGTTTTCGTGTTCCATGTCCCTCTCATTGTTGTTCTTTTGGTGAGTGTGTTATCACGTTTGTAGCAAAGACATGCATTTTTAGATCCCACTGCCACTTACTGACTATGTTTCACTTTCGCTAATCTTGACCCTACGACTAGCTCATAATATACTGCTGTATATACAAGCAGTCAAACGTCAAAAACTTGCTCAAAGCTAGCTGAAGAGATTCTGCACAAAGACAAATGTCATCGAATTGGTACAGTTTAGCTCCGGGTGACGCGGTCAAAGCGATTGACTGTGAATCCAGCCATGGTCCTTCTTCTTCTTTTTCTTTTTCTTTCCTTCTTCCTCGTCTCCCTCTGTCTGGCAAGATGCTTAGAGCTGATTTTGGTCGAAAACAGGATTGCAAGGATCGAAACATATGTGCGAACACACCAACCCTGCCAAGGTATGACGCTGTTGCATGACTTGCTTACCCGAGACGAAATGACCTACAGTAGAAAATGTATTGGCCTTGCCCTTGCCCACCAAATAGAGCTCTTGAAATGGTAGGCATGATATCTACAAAGTTGCCCACCAAATTCTCAAGATCGCCCAAAATGTTACTCCTCATAAGATATAGTCCTCAAGGAAATTGAATTCCAAGAAGCTCATGCCATGGTGATTTCTCCGGAACAAATCCTGGCGATGTCTCCTGTGTGTCCCGAAAAAATGCTCGTCTGATCCGCCCAAAACCTCGCTGGACACCCCGAGTCCCGAACCGTTGCGTCGGTGAGCGCGGCCTCCGCTGCTGAGACCGGTGACATCGGTGAGGTGGGTGACCGGGGAGAGTCCTGGGCGGTTCGGTTCGGTCCTTGCCGTCTGTACACCACGCAGGCCCGAAGATGTCGACGAAAACACCATTCGACTCACACCCCTGCAGGCCTGAAGATCCAAATGGGAGGTGTTATTATGGTGTTGTTCATCAAGAGTCTACGTGACTGAGTAGATGGAGAGTAGAGTATATAGCACAATCCCCAAGGTCGGTGGTTATGCAAAGCCCCATCTAAAAGACATGTAGGGCCAATGAACGGGGTTGCGCCATCTACTCTGAAACTGCTGTAAGTCTCATGCGCTGCATGCAAAACAGCGCGATGTCCTCGCCCTCCTTGGCTTCAGCATCCTCCCCCTCTGCGCCGTCTTCCTCGTCCTCCTCCTCCTCTTCGTCTGACCTGAAGCTGACACGGATACGGCCAAAACAGGGCTACTCAATGCCGATATGCCGAAAGACGGACAGAACATGACCAGCCCTTTGTGGATGGCCACCAAGCTCCCTGGCTCTTCAATTTCCGGCACGTCTGGCATCACTGCAGTGTAGTTCACCTCGATTTCGTACCTGGCAGCTTTTCATGTCTGACATGCAAAAAGCGTCAAACTCAGGCATAGGTTAGAGAGAGTACAGGGACTGAATGAACTGGCACGTGCTGTCATCATGGAAATCAAGTTTGTCAAACATGCAATGTAACTCCATGTCTGCCATGACAGTGTCAGGCGAGTCAATGGCCTGCCATGTCGCTTTTTGGGGCACGTTTCGCTATTGTTCACTGATTCAATATCTGGACTGCTTAGGGCCAGCAGTGATCCTCACGAAAGCGAAAAATTCTCTCCGATACATCCGGAGGAGACGGACGGGACACCTGTTTGGACTCCCAAGCACACGGGCAACTCAGGCCATCGCCATCTCCCAAGCTCAAGAGCACCTTTCCTGCAGCCGGGCAGTCTTCAACGTTCTCCGTTCTCCGTCCGGCGTCTCCGCTCGAAGCGCGCCTGTGGTGTCGTCCCACGCGAAGTAGTTCACTTGCACGGGGATTCTCACAAACCCAATAGGAATCGCCTTGGAGCCGCAGAGTCCGGAGTCAGTCGCACTCTTCGAGTCCGGAGTGCTTCGGAGCCGGTGGTTCGGTGCCCCCAAAAAAAAACGGTCACACGCCGGCGGACATCAACAACCAGAGACAGAAGTGAAGCTGACAATGGATTGTAGCAAAAATATGAACAGAGTGTATAGGCTTTCAAATGTCGCTTGTTTTGGCAAATTATCCTGTTCAATTGTTGTTCCGCGGCTGTGGAGATAAAGATGAGCTCGCCTTACATCTGATGTTATATTGATCGGATATTATGCGGAAAAGTTTGGAAGGTGTTTGCAACATCTGGACCTGACTTAGGCAGCAGCCAGCGCATCTGCAGGCCAAGCTCCAGACGTGCTCTGAGAGCAGTTGCACGTGGAAGAAAAAGATTGTGTTGTCCTGTTCAGTCTGTGTTTCAGTCGGGGAAGCTGGGGGCTGCAACTCGTTAACCCTGTCGTACTCCCCCTTTGATTGCAAGTTGATACAGTTGCATCAGCCTGCCACGCCAAGGACACCCGAGAGGGCACCAACTCTTCTGACTTTGAAAAGACCCCGCAAAAGCAGCTTGGAAGCCATCATATGCTGTTAGAACATTGCTAGAACGTATCGTGCAGAACGAGCAAGCATCTCTTGCCTGGTGCAAGCAGCTTGGCAAGCTTGCAAGTCTCCAAACATGCAAAAAGAACGGCTTTGATGGGTCTCCATCTGCACCGAGGTAGTGGGGGGTCATAAGGGTTAAAGACACACAACGAAATGAACGTGCATGAGTGACCGTGCGATGCGAATCAAGAGCAACAGACTCCATGAATGTGGCAGCAATGACACGAAGAAAGTGCGACGAAGAAGCACCTAACGACACGGGTATGGATCCAATGGACTTTTGCACAGAATTTGTCGTGAAGGGTGGTGTTTGTCGTGATATGCCACCTGAGATTTCCTTGTGGCCAACAAGCTGGGAACTCTCCTCACCCAGCGTGGCCAGCAGATTGAATTCATCAGGGCTATACCTTCGAATTCTGCGGCTGAACGTGTCGACCGAGCTCGCTGGGAGTGTCACAGAACAATCAAAGATGATGACCCTAACTAAGGCTAACAATGTCTAATATCTATCCTTAGTAAAACAATGGCTTCTTAAATGCCATTAAAGCAATGGTGGTTGGAATCCCAACGATCACAATCTGCAAGATTCCATGCCATGTCTGGGGCCACCGATTCACGAACTCCCGAGAATTTACGAGTCGCAGTGTTTCGCCAAGCACAGCTGAGGAACGATGTTCATTCCAGGTTCTCCGCTTATGGTTGCAGCGATGCTACATGGGAATTTGATTGGTTTTCTGGCCTCTACTCAGTCCAAAACCATCCAGGTACCCTCGTTTGGGGTGCACCTCCACGGTAAGAAACGATGTTCAGGTGACAATTCGCATACGAATCACCTACGAACGGTCTCACGTCTCACGTCTCTCGGTCCAAATCACGTCACTGGCTAGCCCTTGCACGACATGGTCCATGTAGTGCTAGCCCATAACAGCACAAATGGGTCAAATGGGTACCAATATGCAACAAACAGGAACGTCTTGATCGCTCTCTTTCCACAGAAGGTATATAGGCCTCTAATTAAGTGATCCTGCTCCCATAAGCCCTCACAACACCTGGATCCAGTGTTCCATGTCATGCAAACAAAGACTAGAAAAGTCATTGTCTTGCAGGGCGTCGTGTCGTGGTGTCTCTATTCTACTTCATTCCTTGCGCTGAATGGTCCAAGACAATCACCCAACTTTGGCCAATCACGCAACCCTGGATTTCCGCCCGAGTGGCTTCAGCTGCTTCACCATGCAGTTGTGCGGTTTCAAAGCCTTGGTGCAAGGCCTTTCACACCCGGGAACCTTCCAAGACCGACCTGACTGGAAAACAAATTTCCTCTACAACCCGCCGTGGTTTCCAGGTTCCAATGTCAATTTTCCAGGGTGTACATTATGGGATACTTATGAGATGCCATCCGTCTCTGCCGGTGTCTGCCGTTTTTGTTTGTTTGATCCAACTTCGTCGACCCCATTCGGGCCCTGAAATCATTTCTCTGTGAAGCTCTTGTCTGAGAGGGCTCGCCTGAAGCTGCAAGAAGCCATCGGAACAAGCGGTGAAGGCGCGGATGGTCCCATCCTCGGTGGGAGAAGCTATCAACTGAGAATGGTGAGAAGCCATCAGCCAAGAATGCAGTTCAACCACTGAATGATGGGCTAGTGAGGCAAAAAACATCAAAGGACCGATGATTTCAGAAGGTGAGCAACAATGAACAAACCTGACGATGTTATCGGCGTTACTAGTTATCCGGTCCAATACTGCGTCATTGAAGAACCGGGTCCATTCCCTTCAGAAAATCAGTGGATCATCCCACTCCCAGCGCTCCCATCTCGGCCCAGGGCCGTGTATCCCACGCACACGGTGCGCTTCGAGGGGTCGACCTCGGAGTACTCGGCCATTGAGCTGCTCCAAAGCAGTGTCCCGATTGCATACCATATGCCAGTGCACCTTCTGCTTGCAGTTTAGATTTTAGATTTATATAATAGATGTCAGTCGTGATGGGTATTGGTACGTGACTCAAACAACCGTCAATAGTTCGAAACAGCCGAATTAGAGCCCAGACTCCTACCCACGTGAGGCCTTTAGACGAGTTATATGCTACATGAGCTGCTCGTAATCCAAAGCATTTCAAAGCTATATAATTTTCTACTATATAGTTAATTGGCCAACTCCCAGTGTACAACATCTGAGTGGGTCCCTCTTTTTGGAGTACATATCTTTGTCAACAGAAAAGGTTAAGAAACTCCTTGAGCCTCATCCTGAGACCCGCGTCTCAAAGGCTGTGCTTGTGACTCAGCTTTAAAAAAGCAAATCACGGACCCTGTAGAAGCGATCAGATGGGTGTTTTTGCTGAGTGTTCTACCAGAAACAGGAAACATGACCGACTGGTATGTCTCCAATTCAACTTTCCCTCAGCTCAACGAGCATCCGGACCAACTCTGGAGTGGCATCGAGGCAGGTGGCCCCCACTTTGGCACTGTGCAAAGGTCGGATATCACGATACCTCAGAACATGTGCTAAGAATGCCATGTGCAAAGAATATGCTAAGGATCTCTTGTGGATATAGAACATGGCATCCGTCGTGTGTATCCACGATACCTCTTAGCATGCCCCAAGATGCTGAGATATGCTAAGCATGCCATGTGTGTGTGGCGATGGCGCATAGATCGCTGTGACTGCCCGACTCTTGGTGGGGCTGCTCAGGGGCAATGTGTTCACGTCTGGGTATTGTGGGGAACCCAAAAATGCTGTGTAGGTCCAAGTGAATAGCAAGAAAATTAAACTGCAAGAAATGATATGAGTGAACACATTGTGTGTCCCACCCAACATCTGGAATGAGAATCTGACCCGTGTACAAGATGAGACTGTACACAGATCAGATTCTCAGATTCTCAGATTCTGTCCGGGCGCCCCTGGGTGACCCAGGCAACTCGTTGTCCCAGGGTTGTGACACATTGAAGGCTCGCACGGTGCCATCCATGCCTCGATGCGAAGAGAAACCGGATCCGAACGGATCCCGATGGATCGGATCTTCGGATCCTGGAGATCCATGGGGACACCAAATCTGGGAGAACTCGTCCAAGGGAGACCGAATCCAAATGAATCAAATGCAGGCCAAATCCAATGATCAGACTACTAGATGTGCTCAAAGGCAGACCAGTGGAACTCTTCGCAGTTCACAGGAGCTCACCCAGAGAAGACCCTGGAGATGATGATCAGTTCATCATGGATAGAACCGAATGGAAATGGAGCGTAAGTAAGGTGATACTGTGGATGAGGTGCCATTCTAACACAAAATTAAACAACTCACTGACTCCCTGCGCTGCTGTCTAGCGTGTTTGCTACTCAGGAGAGTAATCGTGACCAATAGGAGTGGCCAACATTGGCCAACTACAGTACTCAATTACCATCAATTACCTCTTGCAAAAAGCCAGGATTCGGATGAAAACGCGTGCCCCTTCCAAGCTCACCACCATCTGCGGGGGTATGCTCAAACCGATCCCGGACCTAAAAAGCAAGAAAAAATCTCCAAAATGGGAGCCCAACGCTACTAGGTTGGAGGCCATCGCTAGTAGGTTGGAGGCCAAGCCAACACTGCCCCCGAGACTCCCCCCGCCAGACCGAGCCACCACAAGACATCACCAGGCCCGCATAGGAGGAGGAGACCACCGAACCCGTGACCTGGCGACATCGTCAAAGGGAACAAAAGGATCCAAAAATATCCAAAAATCACGGGACGAAGAAGAGAAGCCGCTGTCGTTGTCGTTGTCGTTGCCGTTGCCGTTGTCGTTGCCGTTGCCGTTGCCGTTGCCGTTGCCGTTGTTGTTGTTGTTGTTGTTGCTGTTGTTGTTGTTGTTGCTGTTGTTGCTGTTGTTGTTGTGGTTCGTCATTGTTGTTGTTGTAGTTGATCATCTTGTTATTGTTATTATTCTTGCTATTCCTGTTATATGTTGTTACTATTTTTGTCATTGTTCTTGTTCTTGTTATTCTTATTATTTGTCCTCTTCTTCTTCTTCCTCTTCCTCTTCATCTTCTTCTTCTTCTTCTTCTTCTTCTTCTTCCTTTGAAAGTTGAAGAAACGAACTTTACTTTAGCGGGGGGGCAATCGAAATAGCCAGAGTCGCAGAGCCGCAGAGCAGGCCGGGACTCGTTGAGCATTTGAAGCAATTGTTTTTGGCCTTATAAATCTTTGCCCTTCGATGGTGATTTACACAGCTTGGATCTCAGTTTGGTTTCCCATTCACCCCCATCAATTGTACTCCTGAGAGGCTCCTCCTGTGTGAAGAGGCTGACCAGTATATTTCATCCCTTTCACAAGGCCATGGTGCACAACTTCACCTGCTGCGCAGCGTGTGAAATCGTCTGAACATGAGTACATGCAGCGCAGGTCTCCCGTGCAGCGTGTGAGCTCGCTTGGATGGCCAACTTGCCGTGCGGTTCAGTGTTTCCAAAGAAGGTTCCAAGCAAACAGCATCAACGGTTGGTCAAGGACGGTCAAGGATGCGTCGTACGGTGATCTCGCCGTTCGTTTCTGGGCCACTGGGTCCCAAAATGGTCAAAAGGGATGTCGAATCGCTGGAAGTGACGTGAATAGTCTCACGGGGCGCGCGTCGCGCGGCACCTGTTGACTGTGGCAGCTCAAGGCTGACGTGCAGGTGTTGGCCGCCATGTCGTAGATCCAAATCATGCCATTCCTGGAGTCCTGGTGAAAACCAAAAAACAAAAGACATGGTACCTCCGGAAAAAACACCATGATGCTGAGACCGTCGAAAGCCTTCAGACGAATTCCAACAACTTCTGAAACGATCACTGAACAAACCAGTCCTGAGCAGCAGTCCTTTAAATGAGTCAAGACTACTGCCTGCTCAGCTGGGGACTACGTTAATTTGGATCATAAAGGGCAAAAGCTACTATCATGGCTATCATAGAAAACAGCTTGGGTAGAAAAGGCCAAGTGAACATGACATGAAGCAAAGCACTCCTCTAGCTTTCGAGGCACATGACGAGGCTACAACCGACATCCTCTCCGCCGACGAGTCTTAGACTGTTGGCTCCACCGGACATCTGGCTCCACTCGCTCCTGGATCAGCCAGGTGACTTCATCTTCACCTAGCCAGCGGTGAAAGACCCCAATTCACAAGTGTTCACCATGTTCTGAAACCGGTCACAAGCCCTGCACGCCATTCTGACCGGAGAATTATATCGAGATGGCTGCAACAACGAACGGAGTCTATGGCGCCAATCAAATCCGTCGTCTGTTTTTCTGGACGATCCCTCTGGGTCGTCTGGCCAATCACCACGTGCTGAATGTGCGCGGGATGTTGGTTCATCTCACCAGCCCTGGCGCGCCACCACGCCGCGCGACACCGTGACGCTGCGCCGCGCCCGTGGGCGGACTCCGGACTCCGTGATCTGCTTGGACGGGGGGAACAAGGGGGGGCGCTACAAGGACCATTCCACTCTCGGCCACTGAGGTTTGGGAGTGAATTACCGAAAAATGGTAGGGTGTGATAGGGATGAAAAAGGGAGACAACTGAGCGACGGGTCGATCCCCACTGAACTGGAGACCTACGAAAAAAGGACATAGACACCACCTGGTCACCCGTCCTGCGATTATAGTGATTGGAAAGCGGTTTTCAGTGGTTTTCCCCATGGATTTTTCTCCATCGATGTCGGAGCACCCATTTGTCACTCAAAGTCTGCGCCAGGCCGACGGAGGCACTCGGACCTCCTTCCGCATTCGGATGCCAAACCTGTGCGAGGGGTGCGGGCCAAACGCTGGTCCCACACACGGTGGGCCACGGTGTCCCAAAAATGCGGCTCCAAGAACAATCTCAAGAAAATAGACCCACGAACGCGCAGGTGGTGGTCTACAATATTTGTTTCACACATGGGCTGCTAAGCCAAAGCCATATGGCAATATATATATAGTTATGTATATATATATATATATCAGACTTGACCAGAATGTATAGTCTCAATTTAGTGTTCTTCAGAAGTCTACAGTGCCGACCGCCCAAAAAGAGTGGATAGGCCAGGATTCTTGGGCGGTCTTCGAACGAAGCAGCGCGAAGCAGGCAGCCGCGCACCATTATGAATGCAACCTGATGCCACCGAAGGCACTCCAAAATGCCATTGTCGTAGTCCGCCTCTGCTGTGTCAATCTCTTCAATAGGCCACCATCTCAAATGACCTGCACCAGGTTTGGTCGGTACATGTCGGTTCAGAGTACTTGGTATCGTCGGTATCGTTCGGAGGTCAGGAAAGTGTTGGGTTTGAGATGGTTTGTCTTCTTGACCTCCTCTCTAGTGACCACTGAGATCAGGAACCTTTCCTTCAAAGTGGCTATCTGACACCGGAGTTGTTGGATCACGGGGTTCAGGGCTCAGGAAGCCTGCCAAACACACTTGGTGCTGTTTCCGTTCGACGTCCTTTGCCTGCAGTTGTTTTCAAACCGTCTGTGTTTCTTTCCTAGATCAGCACACTTCAAATCCTATTGCCTGTCATCATTTTGTATATAAGTCAGCCACAAGACCTTCTGCCTCTCCTGTTTACCAACTTGACTGGTCGACGAGCGACCTGCTGGCCCCCAAATCGCAAGCCGTGACTCCCTTAGAAAAGGAGTGGCCTTTGGAAACCTTTGATCATAAGTAGCGGTTCAGACACCTCCAGCTACATACTCAAGTCAATGTTGGAAGACCAAAAACTACTATCTACACATTGAGAGCTAGGGCCCTGGAAAAAATATAGAAATGCCTATGCTCCCTGACGATAGACGAGGACCCAGCCGTCATCACCGCCGGAGATCACCATGCCATTTTCCTTATCGATCAAGATCACCTCGATGTTTCCATTGTGTGGACCTTGGGTGGCAGTCAGCCCTGAAACGTGTAGAGCTCATGGAGCAAGCCGTAAAAGAACTTGTTGTTGTTGTTGGTTATACTATGTTATACTCACAGAGTAGGGGGTAGGAGCAACGGCTGCGGCGGCGGCGGCCGCAGCAGCAGCAGCAGCGGCAGCAGCAGTCGGAGTCGGAGTCGGAGTCGTAGTCGTAGTCGTAGTCGAAGTCGAAGTCGAAGTAGTAGTAGTAGTAGTAGTAGTAGCAGCAGCAACAGCAGGAGGAGTAGTAGTAGTAGCAGTAGTAGTAGTAGTAGTCTTCTCTAGTCGTCACCGTGGTGGTAGTTTGCTGCTGCTGCTGCGGCTGCTGCTGCTGCTGCTGCTGAGAACACCGGCAGTCGTTGTGTCCGTTTTTGAGTCACCTTGTTGGGCTTTGAATCTCAGATGACACAAGGCGGCCATGAGTGAAACTTGTCAGGTGCTGACAAGCAGCTTCCAGCAATGCTGGTTCCTGCTTCTGCTTGGGTGACACCTTCTTTCGCCCGCATCAGCTCCACCTGATGTCAAGCAGCGGATTCATCGGTCTCAGATCCCCTCGGTTCTCAATTTGGGCGATCACAAGTCCCCAATGGCGGCAGCTGGGAACCATGTCAGTGACTTTACAAAGCCATACAAAGCCCACCTTCACAAAGACTCCTTCCCAGAGCAGCAGCTTACCATACCTGGATGTGGGGTCCAAGATCGATCAACTGTACAACGAGAAAGGATATTTGGCATGCGGAACTGTACAAGATTACAAGAGAGGGTGGTGTCCATATGTCAACCCTCTCTTGCAAGCATCAAACCTAAGCTGGTCTGCGCAAGGCAAACCAATTCAACTGAAAATGTCCAACATGAGATTCTTTTCATATGCTGCTTGCATCTGCTTGCCTTCCCTCCCTACCTACCCTAGTATGATGTGTCCATGACTAGTAGATGAAGCACGTTTGATGTCAATGTAAGTCGACAACGACACCAGTTGCCTCAGGGCGAGGTTCCTGGTGATGAAGACAGGATACAGGATACCTACTGTACATAATCCTACATATACCTACCCAATCTGTACAAATTTGTCTGGAGTGCTCGTTCCCTTCGCGTCCATGTTAAGGAGGGCACTCTGAACCAGTCACTACCTGCGAGGCGGAACTGGCGGGTGTAGTCCCTACATCTCCACCAGACTTCCTTCTCGCATGTAGGGTGTTGTGGATAGGACCCTTTTGGGGTAAAGCCACAAGAACCTCCACAGTACATGTATCTTGAAGGGTTCATTCAAAGGCCCTCAAATGGGGTGAGGAAACATAACAAATACACGACTGAGGCAGGGTCATCAATCCTCTTGCGAAACAGGTCATGCGAGTGTGATGCAAGTCCTGTCATGAACCATCCACACTACTACGCCAAGGGCTGGCTGGGCAGGGCTGCTGGTAACGTCACCCAGTTCACATCACCCAGTCATCCAGTTGCCGTCAGTACGCGAGCGTCCTCCGAACTCGCACCAGGTCACATGTTACCAACTCTTGAGATCGAACCATCTCGAGTTCATCGAGGGTTGGACGCATGGTGCTTCCGCATGCTTCCGCCGCTTCCGATGACCTCGACGCAGCTCGACGCAGCTCCTTTCATCGCCCAACCCCAGCGGCCGTGGCGCGCCTTGCCATCGGGCAGCTCCACGAAACCCGAGATGTCCGAGAGCTCGGAGGCACCAAACTGCGCGCGCGGGGTTTTCGGTTCGGTACCGCAGCTCGGAGGGGACCCGTGGGCCGAGATCGAGTGTCTTTTCCCGTTCTGAAGGGTGGATCCTTTGGGATGTTCCTCGAGAAGTGGTTGGTACTGTGGAAAGCATCGAATTATATGTTTCACGTTATGTCCGGTTCTTGGGATTCTCCAGGCAGAAGCAGGGCCTCAGCAGGGCCGAAAAGGACTGCCCTGCCCTGCGCATGGCCTTGCCAAGGTCCCCTTGCAACTTGAGCCCTGTGAAGGTCGTCGCCATCTTCCAGAACCTCCAGCGATTCAAGGAACTCGAAAGGCTTCGACATAGGGTGACACAGGCTTCGACATCGTTGGTCTTGGGAGACTTGCGAGGCTGGCTCATCTTGATGCCCAGACTTGCTACATCTTCTCTGACTCCAGGTCACTAGTGAGTCTCTCAGTCTCCACAGGTCGCACTCTCCCTGATGCTCACCTAATATGGCCAACGCCCACAGATGTGAGCATCCCTGGAAATTGGCCCCAGCGAATGCTGAAGATTTCCTGGACGGTGAAGCGGGATGGTTCCGATGACCGGACACCTCTGTGGCTCGGCTCAGGTGTCCGGACGAATCGAGGTGGTTGGTCGTTTGAGGGATCTTTAGGGGGAGCTTCACCATGCTGAAACGCTTCACTCTGAGGTGAAGCGCTCAAGCGGTTTTTTTTGTTCAACCTGAAAATGCACCGGCCAAGATGAGATGGTGCCAGTCTTGCTTCGTTTCCCTGTCGTCCGACTTCCTCCGCCAGCCATTCCGTCCTGGCCATAGGCTTTGCATTTCAGCAAAAGCCGTTCGTTCTTCCAGTCCCAAACAGACAGGAGAAAGTCAGGCGCACAACCTCAGACGCCCACTGCCGCCGGGTTCTGCCAAAGACGGTTGATGTATGTTGATGTAATGTAGCAGTGAGTGTGTAAGATTTACCCAGGAAGGAAAGCGAATGAAACAGAGGTTAAAAATAAGTCTATTTGATGCTAAATCATTCTGTGGCCGTTTGTGGTATATGAATCAGCCACATTTGAGCTGGACCATCCTGCAAATGAAGGCCAAGCACTCACTTGCGCACCCCCAAATAACCTCACTTGCGCAC